TTTGTTGCGTTGTAACTTTCTGTTTTGGATATTAGACTGCTATTAGATATACAGTGAAATTATATTTGAACAACCTAATCTGTTCCAGTCTGGTGACATTATGAATAAAAACTGCTATAAACAAACATCATGTAAAACTGATTTTCTGAATATATATTTTCAGTTCACTCAAGATAATTACCTGGGAGTGGAACTGGTGGGTTACAGAACCTATGAGTGTTTCATTTCATAAGCAATTACAACAAGTTTTACCAAAGCAGTTTTACCACTGTCCCCAACAATGTATGAGAATTGTATCTGCTCCATGTCCTTGCCAATACTTGATGTTCTCAGCCTTTCAATTTCAGCCCTTATGAGGGGTATCTTCTTGGGGTATTGATTTGAATTTCTCTTGGTGACTAATGACGTTGAGCATCTTTTCATGTACTTATTGGCCACTCAAGCATCTTTTTTTTCCAATTCTTTATTTTTAAATTGACAAATAGAAATTGTAAATATTGGTCATGTACAACGTGTTGTTTTGAAATGTGTTTACATTGTACAATGGCTAAACTGAGCTCACTAACAGATGCATTACCTCCCATAGTTATCATTTTCCTGTGGTGAGAATATGTAAAATCTACACTCATAGCAATTTTCAAATATATAATACATTGGTATTAGCTACACTTCCCATGTTACACAATAGAACTCCGCAGCGTCTTCCAGTCTAACTCAGATTTTTCATTCTTTGATCAACATCTCTCCAAACCCTGCCCCTAAGCTTCTATTGCCATCTCCTACCTACTTTTATGAGTTAAAACATTTTTAGATTCCATGTATAAGTGAGATCATGTGGTATTTGTCTTTCTGTGCTGGCTTGTTTCACGTAATGTTCTCCAGCAGTTCCATCCATGATGTGTCAAGTGATAGAATTTCATTTGTGTGTGTGTGTTTGTATGTGTGTGTCTCAATAGCATTCCATTGTGGATATGTACCATGTTTTCTTTATCCTTTCATCCATTCATTGGTATCCAGCTTGACTCTATATCTAAGCTACTGTGAACAATTCAACAATAGACAAGAGCATACAGGTATCTCTTTGGTATGCTGATATCATCTCCTTTGGAAATATAACCAGAAGTGGGATAGCTGGATCATAGGGTAGATTTGTTTTTAACTTTTAGAGGAATCTCCATATTGTTCTACATAATTGCTATAAATAATTTACACCAGCCAACAGTAATATAGAGGTTCCTTTTTTTTTTTTTTTTTTTCCCTGCGGTGCTGAGGATTGAACCCAGGGCCTTGCACGTGCTAGACAAGCGCTCTACCACTGAGCCACAACTCCAGCCCAGGAGTCCCTTTCTCTGCATGTCCTCACCAGCATTTGTCCCCTTTTGCTTTTTGCTAATAGCCATTCTAACTGGAGCAAGATGGTATCTCACTGTGGTTTTGATTTTCATTTCCCTGATGATTAGTGGTGTTAAGCCTTTCCTATACCTGTTGGCCATTTGTGTATCTTCCTTTCAGGAATGTCCATGCAGGTCTATTACCCCTTCTTTAATCCATTACTTGCTGTTTTGCTAATGAGTTGTTTAAGTTCCTTATATATTATGGGTATTAACCCTTTGTCAGGTATATACTTTGCAAATATTTTTTCTCCATTCTGTAGGTTGTCTCTTTACTCTGTTGATTGTTTCCCTTGCTGCCTGGGCTTTTCTTTGATATATGATTTTTAAAAATTATTGATTCAGTCTCATTATTGATCTCTTCAGGTTGTTTATTTATTCATGATCAAATCTTGGTAAGGTGTGTGTCCAGGAATTTACCAACTGGTTCCAGATTATCAAATTTCTGGCATATAATTGTTCATAATACTTGCTAATATAAATCCTTTGTATTTCTGTGGTGTCAGTTCTAATTTCTCCTGTTTCATCTCTAACTTTATTTGAGTCTTCTTTTTCCCTAGTTAGTCCAGCTGAGAGTTTGTCAATTTTGTTTACCTTGTCAGAGAATCAGCTCTTCATTTTGTTGATCTTTTGTAATTTTATCTCTATTTCATTTATTCCTGCTCTGATCTTTATTATTTCTATCCTTTTACTAATTTTGGGTTTGTCTTGTTTTTCTACTTCTTTGAGGTGTGTGATAGGTCATTTGTATGAGGTCTTTTCTGCTTTTCTTTTTTTTTTTTGAGAGAGAGAGAATTTTAATATTTTATATTTTATTTTTCAGTTTTCAGCGGACACAACATCTTTGTTTATATGTGGTATTTGTGTTTCCATTGTTATTTCTTTCAAGAAATTTTAAAATTTTCTTCTTAATTCCTTCCTTGACCCATTGGTTGTTCAGGAGTGAGTTGTTTAATTTCTGTGTTTGTATAGTTTCCAAAGTCTTCCTTGTTATTGGTTTCTAATTTTGTTGCCCTGTAATCAGAAAAGATGCTTGATATGATATCAATGTTTCAGCAGTACAGGATGCCCCATGTCCAGGTTTGTCCCAGATCCACAGTTGGTTTGCTGTCTGTCATGAACTTGCAGAGTGTCTGAGAAGAATAGTCTGAACTTGCTAGCATCCACCTGTGACCAGGTTAGGCTCACATGCCTCATTCACATTCACTGTACTTTGTTAAAGTACCATGTGATTCTGCCAGGATTTGGGCCTCACTGTGAAGTCAATAACCCCGGGCTCCTATGCCAAAACTTGGCACCCACCTCCCTTTTCTTTCCCCCAGCAGACAATTACTCTCTCCATGTTGTGCTTCCTGGGGTTGAGGGGGGAAAGGGTGGACAGTCCCATGCTCACCAACGCTACAATGCTGGATAACATATGGAGCCCACAACCTGCTGAGACCAACCCAACATTGGGGTAGGACCAAGACTCACTCTGCTATGTGCTTTCTACTGCTGTGGCATACTCATGGCCCAAGACCACTGCAACAGATCACAGGTGATGCTGGCCAAAATAGAGGTCTGATTAGTAGGGGCTGAGTCTACGCTGGCATTAGGGTGGGTCCAGAGGCTCTGTTTTCAGGCAGTGGCCTGGGGGTGGATGCTCTTAGGATCTTCTCAGTGTAGGTTTCACAAGCCTGGCACTGAGTTCCAAGACACGGTCCTGTGCTCGCTTTCCTGCCCTGTCTTTCAGAGGGATTGGTTTCGCTTCTCCCTCTGCTGCCCAAGGTTGGGGTAGTGTTGGTGGGGCAGTCCCTTGGATGTCCAAGCTGATCCTAAGCTGGACCACACTTGGGTTATTTTAGTCAGCTTTTTTCACTGCTGTGACTAAAGGGCCCAACAAGAACAACTGTAGAAGAGGAAAAGTTTATTTGGGGGCTCACGGTTTCAGAGGTCTTAGTCAACAGAAGGCCGGCTCCAATCCTTGGGGCTCAAGGTGAGGTAGGACATCTTGGCAGAAGAGTGTGGGAGAGGGAAGCAGCTCACATGGTGATCAGGAAGCGGAGAGAGAGAGACACCACTCTCCAGACACAAAATATATACCCCACAGCTATGCCTCAGTTCCCGCCTCCTCCAGCCTCACCCTACCACTTCAGTTACCACTCAGTTAATCCCCATCAGGGGATGAATTCACTGGTTGGGTTAAGGTTCTCACAACCCAACCATTTCTCCTCTGAACCTTCTTGCACTGTCTCACACCTGAGCTTTTGGGAGACACCTCACTTCCAAACCAAAACAAGGGTCTTTCAGATGCAGGGATCTGCACTGTTTAAGGGGTGCAACAACTATCATGCCACAGCTGACAGTGATGCGGGCTGAAACGAGTTTTGTCCCACAGATGCCAGGGTTCCGGTCTAGAGCTCCATCTGAGAGCTCTGGCCTCAGAGCTGTTTTCTACCTGGTGCTGGGTCTCATGGCTGTGGACCAGCCACTGAATTCAAAGTCTTGTGCTAGTTGCTCTGTCCTGTTCCCCAGGAGGTGGAGTCTTGGTACTTTTTCTGCTGCCTAAGGCTGGAGGAGCGGTAGTGGAAACAATACCTTGGCCTCTTTGGCTAACTCAATTCCAGCAGCTCAGTTTATGGGGACTGCTAGCCTTGGGACAGGAATCATGGGGCTCTGCCAGGCACTGGGTTTCACCTTGGCAGGACTAGTAGTAGGTTTCAAGTCTAAGATCTGGACTTAAGTCCCTCTCCCTCCTCCAAGTGGGAGGCTTCTCTCCCCATGTTGCACTGTTTGAAGTTGGGGTAGGAGTGATGCAGGCAACTCTTTCCTTCCTGCCTTCTTTGACACATCTTATTATAACTAAACCTAGCACTGTGGTTTTATGGTGTCTCACCTGGCTTCCTTAGCTCTTGTGAAGGTAGTTTGGTGCATAAACAGCTGTTTAAATTTGTGGCTCCTTTAGGCAGATGATCACTGGACATCTTACTCAGCTACCAACCTTGCACTCCTGGCATAAGCCCTACTTGCATATATTAACATGCGCACACGCACACAACATGTGCACGTGCACACACACATTATATATTGATGGTGTGAGTCCAGTTAGGAGATACGTACTACACGGTAAGTTAAACAGGGAATATTAATATAAAGAATTGGGGATGCTGGAGTTGTGGCTCAGCAGTAGAGCGCTCGCCTAGCACTTGCGAGGCCCTGGGTTCGATCCTCAGCACCACATAAAAATAAATAAATAAATAAATAAATACATGCATTATGTCAAACTACAACTAAAAAATAAATATTTTTTAAAAAGGGGGCTGGGGATGTGGCTCAAGCGGTAACGCGCTCGCCTGGCATACGCGGCGCGCTGGGTTCGATCCTCAACACCACATAAAAATAAAATAAAGATGTTGTGTCCACTGAAAACTGAAAAATAAATATTAAAAAAATTCTCTCTCTCTCTTTTTTTTTTTAATTTTTTTAAGGTGTAGATGGACACAACACATTGCCTTTATTTTTATGTGGTGCTGAGGATCGAACCCGGGTCCTGCCCGTGCTAGGCGAGTGCTCTACCGCTGAGCCACAATCCCAGCCCCGACTCTCTCTCTTTAAAAAACGGGGGTGGTGGGGGGTGGGGGGCCTGGGGATGTGGCTCAAGTGGTAGCGCGCCCGCCTAGCATGCGTGAGGCACTGGGTTCAATTCTTAGCACCACATAAAAATTAAAAAATAAAGATATTGTGTCCACCTAAAACTAAAAAAATAAATATTAAAAAAAAAGAATTGGGAACTGTGGCAAAACAGTGAGTGTGTAAAATAGAAATAGTGAGCACAAAAGGAAAATCTGTATAGTGCCCTAGGGCTGAGGCCAAATAGGTAAGGAAGGATAAACCTGGATAAACTTGGAAGGGGTTCAGACCTTCAAGAACGAGTGGTGTGCTTCAGCCACCTGGTAGCAGAGCCGTTTCCTTGTTTGGCCGGGCTGAATCTGACCTGGAGTTTCTGAGCAAACAACAGACCACCCTCTGGAACGGAGGGAGGGAGGCAGGCAAAGATTTTTGTTTTACCTTTAGTTGGTGGCTCTTTCCAGAAATTTGGACATTTTATCTAAGTTTTCAAATTTGTAGTCATAAATTCATTCATGATATTTTCTTATTATTTTCACATCTATAGATTCTTTAGTAATGCCAGATTCTTTATATGGGTAAATCTCACTCTATGTTTTTCTTTTTCCTGTTCAGACTAAGAATTTTTCAATTTGGTTGGTCACTTCAAATAGCCATCTTTTTGTTCTAATCCATCAAATACATCTTCTACTCAATCACTGAGCTTTCTTTACTTGGAAAATATATCAACTAATAAGAGGGATGGCTTTTTGTATCAAATAAATTATTGCTTTGTTTTCTTTCTCTCACTCCCAGGCCTCTATTGTCTCACATCAAAGCAGGAAAAAGAAAAAAAAAAAAAAAGTTACACAATAATATGATGACATCACTTTGTGCAAAAGCCCAGGAATAGTCTTATTTTAATCAAAAGAACATTACACAGCTATTTGCTAGTTTGTAATAGACTTTACTGGATGCTTCCTGCTAGTGGCCTTAGAAAACAACATCATCTAATATAAAAAGTTTAATACTAGATTCCATGTGGCCTTGGGCAAATCACAGGGCTTTGTCATTATTTTTTCTTATTTATAAAGTAAGATAATAATAGCTGTACTACTTGCCTCACAGGATTATAACATAGAGGGTCAATAAGATATTACATATGAAAATGTTCATAAACTATATATCTCCATTTGAAGCCAAGAAATTGCAGTTGTGATCCATTAAAAAAGTTATCTTTAGGAAAAAATGTACACAGAAATTACATTGGATTTCTGTTCTCAGGTACAAACAATGAGTCAAACTATTAGGGAAACCTGATTTTAAAACCTCTCTGCTACTTATGAGCCCTGTGGCACATTTAATTTAACTTTCAAGTTTCCTTACATGTAAAAGGAAGTTAAGGACACCTTCCCTTCTGAAATGTCAAAAGGAGTGAATGAAATATTTGTGGAAGTACCTAGCACAGCACTGGAAGTTTCTGGAAGTAACAATGGGGGGTCAAGACTCTGGGGGAGACTATGCTTCCACACCCTATTCTCCCTCTGGGCATAGCTCCTCCAAGCCTGGGAGGAAGCATTGTTACATTCTTTCATTTGATTTTCATAGTATCCCTATGGGATCCACTAAGCAGGTGTTACTATGCTCATTTTACATACGAGAAAACTAAGAATACTGGCTTTGATTGTGCTATGTACTAAAACCAATAAACACTGTCTGATACCCAAGAAGAGAACCATTGGATGTTTATTTCTCTTTGCAAAGAACATCTTTGGCAGTGTCTGCTAAAGCTGAGCATACCCATACTTATGACCCAGAAATTCCATTCTTAAGATTATATCAAACAGAAGTGAATATAGATGTTCACCAAAAGACAATGGAATAGAATGTTCAAAGCAGTAGTATTTGCAGTGCTTCCAAACTGGAAATTACTCAAATATTCACCAACAGGACAATGGATAAATAAATTGTGCTGTGCTCACAAAATCAAATGCTATACAGCACCAAGGATGAATAAATGACTGCTGAACAATGCTGCCCTTTAATATTAAATGAAAGAAACAAGACACAACAGTCTAGATATGTAGAAATGTATGAAGATGCATGTAGAAACATATAGATGTCAATGTGTGTGTAGTAGATATGATGATTCCATTTATATAAAGTTTTGTTTTTCATAAACAGCAAATACTTATCTTTGGCAACATAAGTTGGGATAGTAGTTACCCTTGGGTAGGACAAAGAGTGTGACTGGAGAGGGCCATGAGGAAAGGTTATGGGCTTCTAGTTAATTACTTATTTATATGGATGGTAGCGATAGAGATATGATCCCATCATGAAATTCATCATTATTTGTCTGCTTTTGTGTGTGTGTGTGTGTGTATGTGTGTTATACTTAAAAAAAAAAAAGTTAATTTGCCTTAGCCAAAACAGAAATCCATTATCTCAGCTAGGGTTTTCCACTGGCTTCCCATGGTGCTCACAAAAAATCCAAAGTCCTCACTGTGGCCTGCATGGTTACACATCATCTGACCCCTGGCGATTTCCTTTGTATCACTTCCTCCACTGTTATTCCCCTTGCTTACTCACCACCAGCCATGTGACCTTCTTGCTGATCTGCAAACACAATAAAATGCCTTTCTACCCCAAGGCTTTGTACTTGCTATTCCCTCTGCCTGGAATGTTCTTCCCTCAGCTGGCTGAATTGCTGGTCTCTCATCATACAGGTACCAGCTCCAATGTCACTTCTTCAAAAAATCCTTCACTCAGCACTCCATCTGAAATAGATTTCCCAGGCATGCTTAAACATATAACACCAATTTTTCTTCCTACCATCTGCAACTAGCTGAAATTATTTATATATTTATTTATTTCTAGTTTATCGTTTATCTTCCTCGAGAGAACATAAGGGGATCATGTCTGCCATGTTCATCATTGTGTGTTTAGTGCCTAAACACACTTACTAGCTTGTAGCACATGCTCATATAAATGTTAGTATTTAATGAATTAATTAAGATCTTTGGGTGAACTGCCCAGTAGCTACTATAGCTGGCATCTCTCTCACAAAGGGAGATATATGAGAAGTTATAAGTCATTGAAAAGTGCTGGGAGCCATTAGCCAAGTAGGTATGACAATTTCCTTGCCAGCGTACCCCATGTTGCTGACATGTTGCAGTGACATTGAATGTACTTAACCTTGCTCAAGGACCAAGGCAGATTAGGGTGTTCCTGGTTTTAAGATAATCTTGTTTAGGGCGTTCCCAGTTTAGGTTCCAGGTTTAAGGTTTAAGATTATTCCTGCTGGGAATAGGGCGTATCCTGCTGCCTGAGTTCCCCTTGAGTTCTCACGGGATTCAGACAGTATATTTTGGAGATAGAAGCCCAGTGGAGGTGAATTTGGGAGAGAAGGTGGATTTGGGAAGAGAACGTGGATTGCTATGTGGTGGCTCGTGATCATGTGCCCAGCCAGACTGTGGCATTTGTGCCCAGCCAGACTGCGGCAGAAAAGAAACCTTTGTTAATACAGCCTACCATGCCTATCTCAGCTTGACGAGGGGCAAGCTCAAATCTTTCCCCAATGCTTCCATGAGCTTTGACCAATAAGGACGTACTCTATGAAATATGCTTTAGATAAAACATCATATCCTAAGATGGGGAAAAAACAACTGGAACTTAACTTCTATCCCCTATCCCCAGGTTCTCCAGAGAGAAACAAAATATGATCAGCAGGCAGAAGAGCTCCTCTCTCCAATCCTGTGCACCTAAGAGAATGTTGACATATTGTCAGCTCATCTGCAGAACAAGTAGTGAATGCAGAGAAAACCATTATATAAAGTAGTTCAATAAACAGCAGATGTCTCTATTTGTGTGTTTGAGATCTTTCTTTCTCACAATTCCACGTTAGGTACAACAACTATGACCGAGCTGTCATCAATACTGTGCCTTATGATGTCGTTCATCGTTGGTATACAGCACACCGGACTCTAACAATTGAGTTGAGGAGACCTGAGAATGAGCTTTGGGTCAAACTAAAGCCTGGGAGGGTATGTCCTAAACTCTAAAGATATCAAATAAGCTTGTTACACAGAAGCAGTGAAGAAAGCCAGGCATGGTGGCACAAACCTGTAATCCCAGTGACTCTGGAGGCTGAGGCAGGAGGACTGTAAGTTCAAGGCCAGCCTCAGGAAGTTAGTGAGACCCTGTCTCAAAAATTTAAAAACTGGTGGGCTAGGGTTGTAGCACAGTGGTAGAGCGCTTGCCTAGCATGTGTGAGGCACTGAATTCAATCCTCAGCACCACATAAAAATAAGTAAAACAAAGGTTAAAAAAAAATCCTTTAAAAAAATGAAAAGGGCTGGGGATGGAGCTCAGTGGTAAAGCAGCCCGGGTTCAATCCCTAGTACCAAAAAAATTTTTAAAATGGAAATAAAAATAAACAAATCAATCAATAATGGTACTTGTTTAGTATGTGTCGTGTTGTTGCAAAGGAAACAGAGGGGGAAAAAAAGTCCTAGGTGCTGGCTGTGGTCCTGCCACTCACCCACTGAATGACCTGGGAGCAGGACCCACCCCATCTCTGACATCTGTGACTGTATGTGAATGACGAGGGGTTTTAACTGCATGATCCCTAAGAGTCCCTCCACCTTCATGATTCCATTTCTTTTTCATCTTTATTTCCTCTGGATGGAGAATATCTTCAAAAAAAATAAAATAATAAAATAGCTTAACCCTTTGAAAAACTATAGAGTGAGAAGTAGAAAAGAAAACGAAAGAATCGAATTACATGATTTGCTTTGAAAAGAGGACAATTATTCAAGAAACGCAAACCCCTCAAGTGCAGGGCCCATTTATTACCTACTATTGCCTTTGCAACTTCCATTTATCCTGCTACAGGGTTACACCCGCCTGGGCTTCCAAAAGTCTGCTTAATTTAAAAATAAAAATATAGCACAGAATATAACCATAGAACCACCTAACGCTTTGCTTTTTAAATGATCTCTTCTGATTTAGGGTTCTTTGGGTTTGCCCTTGTTCTGATGATGTTTTCTCTTTTTATTCATTCACAGGTCCTATTTATAGACAACTGGAGAGTCCTACATGGCAGGGAATCCTTCACTGGCTATCGCCAACTGTGTGGCTGCTACTTAACAAGAGATGATGTCTTAAATACTGCTCGTCTCTTGGGGCTCCAGGCTTAAATTTGACAGCATTGGGATTAAGAACATATCTGCCACCTTGGCGACCAGAATTTCATATCAGCAGAATAATATTGTGTGAAAATCTACTTCATATTGTCTCTCTATCCCATCTCATGAAACAGAAGTGGCCCCTTTCTCTAGCATGGGAACATGTTACAGAGAGGGAGGGCTTCTGTCAACCATCTAGTGGGGTAGATCTTTCCCCCAAGCTACAACATGAGCTCACATTTTCTAAACTTTTTTAGATAATTTTGGTAACTATACTTCAGAAACATAGAGAATTCCTTTGATTCTCCATATTGAAATCAAAGCAATACTGAGTAGGTAAATTTTCCTTCTGACTAGGACAGTTAGAATGAAATCCATTCTAGAAATAACACTGATAAATCAACAATTCACCTAAATTTTGGTCTTAATATCCACAAGGGAGAACATGTGGTACTTGTTTTTCTATCTGATGCACTTCCCTTAACATAATGTCCTCTAATCCCATCTATTTTATACAAATGATAGGATTCTTTTATGACTGGATAGTATTCCATTACACATATGTATGACATTTCCTTTATCCATTCACCTGTTCATGGGCATCTAGGTTGATTCCATATCTTGGCTATTGTGAATAATGCAGCAATAAACAAGACCATGCTAGGATCTCTTTGGTGTGCTCATAATCATTTCCTTTGGATACATGCCCAGAAGTGAGGTAGCTGCATCATATGGGAGATCTACCTTTAACTGCGTAAAGATCCTCCACACCGTCTTTCATAATCACCGCACCAACTTACATTTCTATCAGCAATGTATGAGAGTTCCTTTTCCTCCACATCCTCACCAACATTTGTTCTTTTTTTCTTTTTCTTTGACAACTGACCTCTTAGAGGGGTCAGGCGTAGCACTGCCTGGCATTTCTGATATGATTGGTGTTGCTCAGCATATTTTCACGTCTCTGTTGGCCATCTGAATGTCTTCCTTTGAGTCACATTGACCTAGGTCTATTGCCCTTTTTTTTTTTAAGAGAGAGAGAAAATTTTTTTAATATTTATTTATTTATTTATTTTTTTTTTAGTTTTCGGCGGACACAACATCTTTGTTTGTATGTGGTGCTGAGGATCGAACCCGGGCCACACGCATGACAGGCGAGCGCGCTACCGCTTGAGCCACATCCCCAGCCCTATTGCCCATTTTTAATCAGGTTATTTGTTTTGGGGCAACTGAGTTATTGGGGTTCTTTATATATGCTGGATATTAACCCCATGCCACGTGTATTGTTTGGAAATGATCACTTCTCCTGCTCAGTAGGTTGTCTCTTTACTCCAAAGAGGGTTTACTCTGCTCTTCAGAAAGAAGCACCTTAACACCCTGAAAAACTATTGAGGATCCCAAAGAGTTTTGGAGTTTAGGTTGTATCTATTGATAATAATTATCTTAGATATTGAGAGTCAGAAATATTTAAAATTCAAGAACACAGAGGCACACATCCCTCAGCTATCAGAGACAACATCACATGTCATGTCACCTCTGGAAAAGATGAGATGATGGGAGTGAAAAAAGAAAGTATCACCTTACCGTTATTGTAAAATAGTTTCATCCCTGTATTGCTACAGTATGACAAATTCAATTCTTTAGGGTAAATACTGAGGAGCGCGGTATAGCTGGGTGCCATTCCTCCAAACTCAGAAAGTCAAGGTTCATATGTTTTCTCTCATGTCAAACCTAGAAAGGAGAAAAGGAAAAGGAATGGTGGCGGAGATATCTCATGAAAGTTAAAGGGAGACAGTAGAGAAGAGGAAAGGTACCAGAAGGGGAGGAGGGGGGGAGGGAAAGGACAATACTGGACAACAATACTGGCCAAATTATATTGTTGTATTGTGTCCATGTATGAATATGTAATGAATCCTACCATTATATATAATGTACCAGTAAAAATGTGGAAAAACAGTTTTATCCCACAGACCCACTAAAAGGGCTTCAGAAACTCCCAAGAATCTTTGCTGGCCGGGAGGGAGCATACTAGAGACTGAACCCAGGGGTGCTTAACCACGGAACCACATCCCCAGCCCTTTTTATTTTGAAACAAGGTCTAAGTTGCTTAGGGCCTCACTAAGTTGCTGAGGCTTGCTTTGAACTATCGATCCTCCTGCTTCAGTCCCCAAGTCACTGGGATTACCCAGCCCCCCAAGACTCTTTAGACCATACTTTGAGAACCAATGGGCTAGATGATTGGTTCCTTGGGACAGCCCTTTACATAGGCCTATGGATTGAAGGGTTTGGCTGAAACCCTAGATTTTGCTTTGTAGTGTCCTAGAACTGTAGACATTGTAGGAATTGTTTGGTAACACAAGCTCAGTGATAACCCAGGAACTGAATTCAAATATAGTGTTTTAATTTCTTCAAAGAGTCATCTCTATCTAACTCACCTCTGAAGAACTTAAACTCCCAAGTCACAACAGTTCTTGTGGAGCAAACCCGTCACTTTGGTAGTTATATGAGGGAAATTTGTAGGGTTTTCAGAGACTGCTGAGGTTCCACATGATAATATTCCCTCCCTCCCCCGCCACCTCCCCCCCACCACCACCACTAACAAACTTGTATTTTGGCAATTTGGTGGCATTTTAGGAGGTAATGTGTTTTCCTCCATTTATGATATTTTTCCTTCTCTTAAAATATTATGTTAATTGCCAAGATGTGACTGGGTCATATTTAATGCTTTCTTTCCTTTATTTCTTGAATGACTGATGTGTGAAAGTGGGATGGGTGGGGAATGTATGAGGCTTCTGTTCCCGTGGCTTTCACTGAAAATGAAGCTGTACAATAACCACATTGAGCACTGCAGAATGATGAAAGAACATGTAGGCCAGGGTGCACCCTACAGAAAAAAATATATATATTATTAAGAAATATAGGAGTCATAAAGGAAAGAAAACTTACAGAGAATAGAGCCTAATCTGAATTTTTCAGTGAGTTCCCAGGAAACACTTGGTAGTCTATGCATTATTTTATTGATCCACCCAGTGCTCCAACATGTGTTCTCAAAATATTTCTGCATTTTATTTTTACCATGAATCTTTAGGAGTCTTCCCTGAAATCTTTATTCCTGTCAGGTCAAAGGATTGAGAATTAATTTGGGGTCTTAAAGAGTTCTCTTTGCTATTATGCACTCCTCTAAAATACGTTGCCATTAGTCTTCCCCAGGACATTTGCCTTTTTTGAAGTTTTGTATAAATTAGCCTTGAAGATTACACCATAACTGAGGTTAGCATTGATTTATGACAAGTGAAGGACATACTCATGGGTCTGTAAAGACAAGGACAAAAAATTCAACTTACCGCCCTTACTAAAGGACTCCCCTTACCTTGACTCTCCTGAATTATTAATGAAATAATTCACTACCACACCCTCCTTTTCCTAAATGTTTAATCAATCCTTCTCAATGATGTGCTCCCTTCAGAGGAAGAAAGGGAGGAAGGGAATTATTGGACTGCTGATCATGTATTGAAACATGGTTGAAAAATTTCGATGTGGGGTGTTCCCTTCCCACACCTATTCCAGGTGTTTCTGAGTATATAAGCCTGGGTCTGTGTCTACCAAGCTCACTGTAGACTCACTTTTACCTTTCTTCTCTGGTGGGATGGGATCAATAGTCTCAGGAGCACAGCACCTAACATGGTGCCTTACAAAGAGTAGTTTCATAATACAGATTTGTTGGGAGAGGAAGAAACGAATGTGTCCTTTTCAGACAAACTCATCAGAAATTACCTCATTCTCTATATGTCCTTTTCTGTTTGGCAGCTGACTGGCACCAAATTTTGTTTGCCTTTGTCTACAATGGCCAACCCTCTCAGAGTGCCTGGGACTGAGGGGTTTCCTGTACTGTACAACTTTCCCCATCTTAAAATTGGAAAAGTCCCACACAAACCCAGGACTCTAGGTCAGTCATCTTGCCTTCTTGCTGGGAGCTATTTATTTTTCTTTAGTTTTCATCACCAGTTTCCCTTTCTTTGTAAGTGTTTATAGATCACAGACGGTGGAGTCCGTGGTGAGAAGGAAAAAAGAATGTACGAACTATGGTGTGCTGTGGAGGTTCCCAATGTCTGGTCCCCAGACCAGCAACATCAGCATCATTTGACAATTTCTTTAGAAATGCAACTGTTCACGTCCCACCCTGACCTACTAAATCAGGAACTCTGGGAGTGGAGACCACCAGTTTGTTTGAGCAAACCCTCCAGGGGATTCTGATGCACACCAAAGTTTGAGAATTACGTGAAGGGAAGAGGCCTGTTGCTGAATTTCTAAGCCCAGTTCTGGCACTAAATGACTTGAGGCATGCCCTTCTATTTTGAACTTCAGTTTGTTCTTCGGTGAAGTGAAAGCCTTGGACTAGGCAGCATCTAAAGGTTCTGCCATTCTGTAGTTATGCGACTTAGGTCATTTTGTCTGGCTTTTCATTTACCTCTCATACAGATACAGAACAGAAAACACCTACCTCGGGAGGGGAGGGGAGGGGGGATAGTAGAGGATAGGAAAGGCAGCAGAATACAACAGACACTAGTATGACAATATGTAAATCAATGGATGCGTAACTGATGTGATTCTGCAATCTGTATACGGGGTAAAAATGGGAGTTCATAACCCACTTGAATCAAAGTGTGAAATATGATATATCAAGAACTATGTAATGTTTTGAACAACCAACAATAAAAAAATTTAAAAAAAAAAGAAAACACCTACCTCATAGAGTTTTTCAAACAACTTTGTGGTTATTAAACTAAGATGTTCACAGCACGCATTGTTGCCCAACAATAATAGCCAACTCTTACATAGTGCTGTCTATGTGCTGGACACTGTTCTAAGTGCACTTAATCTCCACAACAACCCTGTCGCCATTTTACAGATGGAAACAAAAAAATAGAGGCAAAGAGAGATTAAGTGGCTTACCCAAGGTCACAAGGCTAAAATAAGTGTCAGACTTTGAATTAGAAACCTGAAGACAGTGGCTCCAGCGACAGTTCTTTTAACTAATCTGCCATATTGCTCAATAAATTTTGTTAACTCCCTCACCCTTTCCATGCTTACAGTCTAACCAACCATTCACAGACAATAATCATCATTCCCACTTTCACAGTTCTTCCAGCAAGATCTTGAAAGAACCATGAGCATATATAGATTAGTTTTGCAAGTAGTTTGGAAAAAAAAAAAAAAACTCAAAAACATTTTCTAGAAACATTGTCTGTGTCCTCATCCCCACACACCTTTAGCTCGTCAGAGCCAAAGACCCTGGCAGAGTTTGGTAGATGTTCTTTTTTGTTGTTGTCATTATTGTTCAGACTTATAGCCAGGGGTTGGCAAGTTTGTGGGTAGCCACATTCTAGTCCTTGGCTTTACACAGTGAATGTGGCTTTTGCCCTCCATCTTGCTCAGAGTACTTTCGGACCCCTATTCCTTGTAGGAGCTTAACTTCTGTCCACCATGCTTTGCTTCCAGACAAGCAAGCCTGACACTTCAATATGGAGACAAGCATCTGATCACATTCGTGTGTTTTTGTCTTGGCCATGCCTTTTTGAGTTTACTTTGTTAAATTTAGTATATCACTGCCAAGTGTTCCATAGCATGAACTAACTGTACCATCTTGGATGCGAAGTCAATGGAAATCTTTCCCATGTGGATTTTACTCTTCCCTGATTTCCTGAGTCGAGTTCGCAAACTACAGAGTACACACTTTCTTGATGAGTTGGGTTTATCATTATGACTATCTGTTTTTGTGCCAGGCAATAATGCAGTATAAAGTCTTAGCTTGATTAATGGAAAACAACTTTCCTTTCTGGAAAAAAAAAATCAGGCATCTTTTGCAATTGTGATAAATCATCTTAAGCCATGTTGGTGTGTAGCATACAGATTCGTAGTAGTGTTCTAACTTACTTTCTGTGTGGGTAGATAAACACGGTCATTTATCCTGTGCACAACAGAGGATCACAAGTGTGGATGCTGTGTAAACTTGTGAAGTTAGTAAAGGTTTTCTCTGCTAGATCCATCTTTATCCACAGTTTACCCACTGGGTGGTAGGCACTCTCTCCAATTCAGGTATTTAGTATACATTTGGATTATGCTTTCTAGCTCCCTCTCTGATGCCTTGACTCAGGCAGGATAGTGTTATAAGAAGAACACAGACTTTAGAATGACCTAGGCTTAAATTCCATCTTATTAGCCTGACGAATTTTGGGAAATCAGCTTTCCTTCCTTGAGGCACTGTTTCTTCATATGCAATATCAACTACCTAAAAAGGGGATGGGTACAAAAAAATTAAAAGCCGTGATGCAGAATGAACTGAGATCTTGGGTAGAAAGCATCCACCAGAGTGAGCAGCACATAATTTACAGTCCGTACACACTAGCCGTTTATCACTGTTGCCAATATCATTACTTGGGAAAAGAGGAGGGATTGGGGCTAGCCTATGAAATCAACAGCCTTCTTAGAAGCAGCAAAGTTAGGAGACTCAGAACTGGAAAGGTGCAGGAAAATGCTAGGGGTCATGAAGTGCAGGTCTATGACAAGGTATCTGACCTTAAAGGCCTGAGGGTTTATGGATAGGAAGTTGTTTGGGGGCTTGGGTGATCTGGGGATTCAGAGATGAAACAGAAGAATGGTCAGAGAGCCTGATGAGACAAATTAGGTCTGCAGAGTTTTAGGAAGAGTGGCTTGGGAAACACGTGTGGAGAATGAATGAAATAGGCAGGTGGACACCCATGTCCATGGTGATGTATAGGTGGGACCCATAGTTCTACATATAGCTTAATTGCCTCTCAGAACCCTCTTCATTTGAGAGGCTTCATTGACTCTCAGAACCCCCACTGAAACTACTATAAAATGATTTTTGAAAGGATTAGAGGAACAGGATTTGGAGGATATGATGGGGAGAACAGGAAAGGAAGCAGCAACTAAAGTTGGAATGCTGAAAAGCACGTGGATGACTAGCAGTTGACGTAGCAGATCCAAGAAGACCACAAAGTAGGAATCCTGAGACCTTAGTGGGAAAAGCCAAAAGCCAACCTGTATCATCACCTGCCCCCAAGGATCTTCAAAAATTGCAACAGGTAACTTTGGAAGTGGAGGTGAAGGTGGCTAGGCACCAAAATAATGAGTGTGTCTGTAAACTGGTTTAAGACGTAAATTCATTCCCAAATCCCCTCCAGCAGCCAAAGCCAGTGAGGGGCTGGCCTCTCCCTTCCCAGAGAGAAATCTGGAGTGCCATTCCCTGGAGAGTGTAAAGGAAAGAGCCTCTGGACTAGAAATTCCTAAACCCGGTTGAGGGCTGGGTTCTCATATTGAAAACAGGGGGCTTAAGAGGATGCATACATCCTGAAAGCTGTGAACCTCCAGTCTTCTTCACTGACTCTGCCCCTAAAATCTGGCATCTGAAAGAGTCTTCTGTGGGCCATCTGACCAACCCAATAGAAAATATCTAAGGACAGTGACACTGAAGGTTCCCCAGTAAAAGGCCCAGCCAGGTTACTCTATCATGAGATGCATGGTTTATAATGTGAGGGACAGGCGAAGGAAGACACCCATCCAGTTGAGGGCACTTACTTTTAGACCAGTTAGTTACTGCAAGGAAGGGAGTCAGACAGAGAAGAGGAAGCGAGTAGAGACCTTGGTGAGAGGAGGTCATTGATGGAGTGAATGAGGCACCTAGGGAGGCAGGGTGTGCTAGAATCCAGAGCGGGAGTAGAAGAGACAGCCTGAGACAGGACAAAGAACCTTTATCCCCCACTAGGATAGGATGAAAATAGTGAGATTTGGTTGAAAACTGAGTTTAATCCATTATTATTTTGCAACTCGAATAGCCATGGCGTCGTGCTAGGTAGTATTCATTCATCCGTCCACTCATTCACACGACATTTTTTTTTTTTTTGGAGCAACTACTGTGCTCCCAGCACTGTGCACAGTGCTGGAGATACCAAGACGAATCAAAGTTCCAGGCCTCATGGAGGTTACAGTCATAGGGCAAAAGCAGACTCACAACATTGGGAGATAAGTGCTTTGAAAACTGAGTAATAGGGGCTGTGGGGACATAGACAAGGGATGTGAGAGACTACCGGGAATTAAACAGGTATGGAAATCCCTTCAAAACAAGACAGATTGCTCTGTGAGTTCAAGGGTAGAGAGGTCTCATCCAGCAGGGCTAATCTGCAAAGGTATCATAGGCTAGCTGGCCTTTGAGGTGAAATTAAGAGGATGCCTTGAGTTTCTCTCAACTTGCAGTGATATTGGGGTTAGAGTGTCCTCCAAGATGTGGAAACACATGCAAAGATCCAGAGACAGGAAATCGCAAGAGGATGTGTTTGGAAAAGAGGGAGAGGCCCTGGTTGAGCACAGAGAATAGCATGGCAAATACTGGGTGGTGCAGTTGAGAAGCAGGAATAGGGCGAGATGCAAAAATGTCATTGAGGCAACATCACAAAATGCAACAGTGTTGAACTAATGAGTGGTATAAAGAACACCAGACTGGTATTAGAAACCTGCTTACATTCTAGGCCCAGCTCTGCCACAAATTTGCCCTAGGTATGGTACGTGGCAACACAAGTAATGTCTGAACCTTTGTTTCTTCATCTGTCAACTGGTAGTAAGAATACCTTCCCTGCCTATTTCATGGTGTTATTAAGAGTCTATGAGTCAGTGAACATGAAAACGAACCTTTTAACAAATCTTTAAAGCAGTCGTACACACGTGTAAAGGGTTATTATTGAGGAAATGCAATGTGCTGGGGACACATCGGCAACTGAATAACCAGGGCGCGGGGGCGAGCCTACTGAAATATTCTCCTATGAGAATTTTAACAGGCTTTTGAATGTAGTTGTTAGGGCTGGGGATATAGCTCAGCTGGCAGAGTGCTTGCTTTGCATGCACCACAAAGCCCTGGGTTCTAATCCCCAGTACCACACACACACACAAAAAAGACAAATGTAGTTGTAAGGTAACATGGTGAGTGACTCAACTCCTGATCATTTGGAACATCCATACATCAAATTTACACAGAATGAAAGTAGATTTGCCCTATCTGGTAGCCCACCTATGAGGACCATAAAGCAGTAGCTATTCTTTTAGAAACATAACAGCTTAACAGGAAAGACAAAAATGGACAAGTTTCCAGTTGTTCTTCATTTGCACAATCAAAATTCACTGACCACTCTGCTGAGTACTGAAGGCAGGGCACAGTAGGGGAGAGACATACAATTTCTGCCTTCAAGCAGATCTCCTTCTGCCATGGGAGGCAGGCATATTAACAGTCAGTGTCAATAGCAGGTAAGCACAAGGGGTCCGTGATAACTCAGAACAAGGGTACCTAAACCAGTGTTTTGCAGCTGAGTTTATGTAAATATGAAGTAATACCATTCCTCTGGCTTTACAGGTGAGGAAACAGACTCCAGAGAACAAGTGGCAGAGGCAGTACTTTAACCTGGGCCTTTGAACTCTTGGTCCAGGGCTTTTTCTTCCTTACCACAGCTGCCTGTTTTGCTTTGTAAGTATGTTTAGGCCTAATGCAATGGCAGAAGATAATGTTCTTTTGTGTGTCCCTGCATGTCCTAGACTGCTCACTCCTTTCCAAGAGATGGATAGGAAACTGGGGGCTGGAGCACCTCCATGTGTCCAAAATGTTGTATTTCAGACATCTTTTTTAAAAGTAATGGGCTGGGGTTGTGGCTCAGTGGTAGAATGCTTGCCTAGCACACGTGAGGCACTGGGTTCCATCCTAGCTCCACATAAAAATAAATAAATAAACAAAGTAAATGTATTGTGTCCATCTACAACTAAAATTTTTTTAAAAAAACGTAATGAAAGTTTTCACAATATAAGTTCCTGTTGAAAGTTCCTCAAGAACCCAGGAGTGTGTGCTTCTTGTGTGTGTGCGTGTGTGTGCGTGTGTGCACATGCTCACCTGTACACAGGTGCGTATGCATCAGAGTTTGGAGCAGGGACGGTTGGAAACATTGGCTCCTACATTTTCAACAAGCCTGTGTGGAGAGAAAATGGAAGGTGAGTCCCAACAAAACTGGCAGAAAACGACAGATGAAAACCAGTCAGAGCAGAGATCTCAGGAGACACCAGGAGAGTGGTGTCTTCTGCCCATATCTACTGCTTCACTGGCAGTTCCATACAAAGTATACATAGGGAAAGTGGTTTTCCTTCCAGGCCTTCTCTTCTGGGAATTTTATGGGAATTCCCAGGTGTTGTGTGGGTCATTAGAGAAAAAAGGAATGATTTCTATTTCTGGAAATATTGCGGACTACATAATCTGAAATCCCTCCTTGCTAGAAAACCCAGATAACTGATGGTCCATTGTTGCCAAAAGTGACATCCCATGAATATCTGGGAGCCTCCTTCCATTTCAACACTAAGGCAACTGAAAAAAATGAAGGGACCATACTTACTCCTAAGATATCCTCCATCCATTTCTTTGGACCCTATCATTCTTCAGCTCTTGTATCCACTGGTTCACTTGACCCTTTACTGAGCACTGAGTGTATATCAGGCATTGGTTGTATTTAATGAATACAAAGTTGAAGGGCATGGTTCTTACACTCAAATATCTCAGGGTGTTGGGCAGGGACTCTTAACCAGAGCTGTACCTCAGAATCACTGGAGAAGGTTTGCAATAATGCATTCGCCTGTCCTTCCCACCTCCCTCAAGATTAGAATTTCATTCTGGAGGGAAACAAATGACCTGAAATTCTTTCTGTGTTGAACTCTTAAAACCTGGAGTCTGAACAGAATCCAAAGCTTTACATGGCCCTCTACAGAAATACAAAGGGAAGGGGGCTGGAGTTGTAGGTCAGTGGTAGAGCGCTTGCCTAGCATGTGTGAGGCACTGGGTTTGATCCTCAGCACCACATATGAATAAATAAAATAAAGGACCACTAAAAACTAAAAAATATATAAAAAATTAAAAATGAAAAAAAAAAAAAAGAAAGAAAAGAAAAAATGAAATACAAAGGGAAGGAGAATTTCCTCCAGACAAGATAGATGCTCAAGCTCAGGGGAAGGTGCCCAAGAGGTGAGATCTCTTCAGCAGCAATATCAAGAAATGGGTAGATTTGAGAGGCATTTTGCAGGTTGAGTCGAAGGGACTTGGTGCCTGCTTAACTGTGAGAGAGGAGTTGAAGGAGAGGAAGATGTCAAAGTGACTCCTGAGACACCACAGGTGTCTCCAATTTCACATATTCCAAACCGTACTCACCTTCCAACCAATACCTGCAAGTTCTCCTTCACCCCATATCTCCAATAATGGCTCCAAAGTCCACAATCACCACACTCTACCCTCAGGGAGTCATTCCAGAGCCTCAGCCATGGCAGCCGCCACCGCCGCCACCTCCTCCTCCTCCGCCGCCGCCTCCTCCTCTGCCTCCTCCTCCTCTTCCTCCTCCTCCTCCTCCTCCTCCACCACCACCCCTCCAACCCCTTTCCCTGCCAACCCATGCCCTACTTTTCTACTAGGCTAATTTCTACTCATTCTTTAATTTCTCCAGGAACATTTCCCAACCCCACAAGTCTGTATGAGGTACTCCTTCCATGTGTTCCCACAGCATCTTGAACTTACCTTCACATAGCACTTATTGCAGTACAGTGTTGTAATTGTCAAGTTCCATGTCTATATCTTTTGCTAGTCTGCAAGAAGGAATGTGATCCATATTTGCTTATTGGAATTTCCTCAATTCCTAACACAGTCCCAGGCATACAGCAGGTACTCAGTGCATATCTGTTGAAGGAATGAGAAATGAATCATCATGTCTCCAGCTAGGTTCACCATTATGAGAAATATGTAGTAAAGTACCTATTATGTGTATTTTCCTACCTAAACTTTTCTTTAAAAAACTGAATCTGTCCCCTGGTCTTATCTACCAATGCCATTATCCTAGTTGAGATATATATTATTTCCTGACTGGGATACTACAGCAGCCTCAATCTCAATCCTCTTTGCTCTGTTCTGCACACAGCTACCACAATGATCTTTCTAGAATAGCAAACCAGTTCATGTCACTACCAAGATTAGATTAGTCGGTTCACTATAACCTATAGGACATTCCAAGACCTGAGCATGGCAAAACAGAGCCTCCATGACCTGGCTCCTATCAACCTCTTCTCCAGCTACATCAACCACCACTGGCCCACCAGCACTTACTCTCCAGCCTTAAGGAACTAATTGCTGCTCCCCCCAATCCCACCAAATGCCTTGGCTTCTCATCATGCTACAAATTCCTTCACACACACGCTTTGTCTACGTGGGTAGCTTACCTGATTCACTCCTATACTTTCAACTATTTATTATATATCATGACCAAGTACCATCTAACTCACAAATATAAGGTTGGCTCAACATATAAAAAAATCAATTTATGTAGGATGGCATATTAACAGAACTGGGGGGGGGGGCAGAGGCGGGGAGGGGTTCAACCATCATCTTAATCGCACAGAAAAAGGATCATCTGACAAAAATCCAATGCACTTTCACAAAAATAAATTCAATAAAGTAGAAGTACAAGGAAACTTCCTCATCCTGGTACAGTGCATCTATGAAAAACCCAGATATATAGAAACACTAAAGCATCCACCAAAATGTGTGTTGGGGAAGGGACGAACCCTATTTGAATATCCAATAAATGGGCTCAGCAAAGTTACAGGATCCAAGATCAACATGCAAAAATCAGTTGCATTTCTATACACTGGCAGCTAACAAACTGAAAAGGAGGTTAAGAAAATAATTCCTTTTATGATAGCATCAGAAAGAATAAAATACTGAGGAATAAATTTAACAAACACATGTAAGATGTGTACTCTGAAAACTATAAGACATTGCTGAAAGTTATTAAGAAGACCTAGATAAATGTAAAGTATTCCATGGTGATGGGTTGGGACACTTAGTGTTGATAAGGTGGCCATAATCTCCAAGGCAATATACAGATTCAGGGTGAAGCCTGGTGGAATCCAACCTGCCTTCTTTGTAAAAAATTGACAAGCTGATCCTAAAATTCACGTGGAAATACTGAAGACCTGGATGCCTCAAACATGCTCAAAACAGAAGAACAAATTCGGAGCACTCACACTTCTCAACTTCAAAACTTACCAGAGAGTTACAGTAATACAAAAATCGTGGTATCAGCATCATAATAGACATATATGTTCATGTTATAGAACTTAAAAGTCAGAAACAAACCCACATATTTATGTATAGTTGATTTTAAGTAAGGGTGACAGGCACATGTAGTGGGAAAAAGAATAATCCCTTCAACAAATGATTCTGGGATGATTGTACAGACACGTGAAAAAGAACGAACATGGATCCCTGTGTCACACCATATAAAAAACTAACTCAAAATGGATGGATCACAGATCCAAATGTAAGGACTAAAACTTTTTTAAACTCTCTCTCTCTTGAGTTAGTTTAACAGGATTTATTTGTACAGAATACCCTTGGCCTCAGTTCCCATCCTTGATAAGAATGGTGCTTTTTAAAATACCTTTGTTTATTCATTTTTATGTGGTGCTGAGGACCGAACCCAGTGCCCTACACGTGCAAGGCAAGCACTCTGCCACTGAGCCACAACCCTGGCCCATCTTTTTTAAACTCTTAGGGGAAAAAAAAAAAACAAAAAAACATAGATGTAAATCTCTGTGACCCTTGGATTAGGCAACAGTTCCTTCACCATGACACCAAAAGCACAACCACAAAAGCATTTTCTTTTTGCAAATTGGACTTCATCCAAATGGAAATCTTTCGGACACCAAAGGACAACCTGCAGAATGGGGAAAATATTTACAAATCACATAACATATCTGAAAAGGGTTGGGTTTCCACAATATACAAAGAACTCTATAGCAAAATGGCATTCAATCCAATTTCTAAAAATGGGCAAAGAGCTTAAATGGACATTCCTACAAAGCAAATGCACAAAGGGCCAAGAAGCTCAGGGAAAAATGCGCAACATCATTAGCCATTTGGGAAATGCAAATCAAAAGGACCATGAAGAAGCACTTCACACCCGCTTGGATGGTTATTATACAGAAAACAAAGCAAAGAGAAAACAGCAAGTTTATTTGAGGATGTTCAGAAACTAGGATGCTGACACACTGATGTTGGGAATGCTGCTGTGGAAATCAGTTTGGCAGTTAGTCAATAAGTTCAGCATTGAATTACCATATGGCCCAGGAATCCCACTCCTAGATACAGACACCAAAGAATTCTAAACAGGTGTTCAAACAAAAACCCGAACAGGAATGCTCACGGAAGTACTATTCACAATCGCCAAAAGGTGTACGTCATCACCTGTCCACCAACTGATGAGTGGATACACAAAATGTGGTGTATGCATACAATGGCGTATTATTCAGGTGTGAAAAGGTACGGAGTGCTGATTCGTGCTGCAACGTGGATGAACCCTCATGCTAAGCGAATGTAGTCGGACACGAAAGGCCACACATTTAACTCTGATTGCACGTATAGTTTCCGTCCAGCATAGGCAATTCTCTATGGTAAGAAAGCACGTTAGTGGCTGCCAGGGGCCCTCAGGAGCAATGTGTGTGTGTGTGTGTGTGTGTGCGTGCACGCGCGTGCGCAGATGCGCACACACAAGGGGGGGGGGGGCGGACAGCTTAAGGGGTACCGGGTGTTTCTGGGGGGCGGTGTAAGTTTCTTGGAAGTAGATGGTCCTGGCGGTGGTACAGCACTGTGATGGGACATACTTGACGCCTCTGACACGCACCCCCCAGTCCTCCTCTTCTTCCCTAGACTGCTCCCCTCCAGCAGAAAGTGAGAGCTCCTGTGCCAAGATGGGAGGGCCCTGGCCAGTGAGGAGGCTAGGAGGCTGGGAGGCCTGGAGGCCAACTGGCCGCCCCGTCTCGGCCCAGGCCCAGGCCCAGGCCCAGGCCCAGGCCCACACACTGCGGACCAGCCGGGGAGTGCTGACATCATCAGAGCGCGTCATCGCCGACCCACGAGGGGGCAGCCGGGGGTCGCTAGGATACGGGGCCCTGGAGCACTGGACCCAGACTACCTGCCGCACCCACCGAGCACCCACCGTTGGCGTCTAAACCGGCATCACATCGGGCCAGGCAAAGCCCAGTCCAGCCGAGCTGAGCAGAGGGAGCGCAGTCCAGCCGAGTCAAGCTGAGCAGAGCAGAGCAGAGCTGAGCAGAGCTAAGCAGAGGGAGCCCAGTCCACCTGAGCTGAGCCCAGCATGCCAAGGCAGAGGAGCCGTCGAGGAGGAGGAGGAGGAGGAGGAGGAGGAGGAGGAGGAGGAAGAGGAGGAGGAGGAGCAGCAGCAACAGGAGGAGGAGGAGGAGGAAGAGGAGGAGGAGGAGGAAGAGGAGGAGGAAGAGGAGGAGGAAGAGGAGGAGGAGGAGGAGGAGCAGCAGCAGCAGCAACAGGAGGAGGAGGAGGGTCATCGTCGGGGTTGTCCGGTCCCCAGAGGCAGGCCCACTCCCGCACCGCCAGAGCTGAGCTGACCTTCTCCGTGAGCCAGGTGGAGCGCCGTCTGCGGGAGGGCCGCTATGCCCAGCGCCTGAGTTGGTCTGCGTCCATGTTCCTGGCCGCCACCCTCGAGTGCCTGACAGCCAAGGTGCTGGAGCTGGCGGGCAACGAGGCCCGCCACAGCGCCAGGAGGCGCATCACCCCAGAGCTCCTGGACATGGCCGTCCACAACAATGCGCTGCTCAGTGGTCTCTTCGAGACTACCACCATCTCCCAGGTCGCCCAGCCCCGGCGCTAGCTGCTGCTGCTGGCTCGGGGGCCCTCGCCCAAGCACCGGCCCACCTGTCCACCAGGCCCCAGGCCCCCTCGCTCTCGGCCAGCCTCGCCCGGCCTGGCTTGTGCCTTCAGCCAGCCCTTTCATTAAAGCGTTTCAAGAAACCCTCCGCCTGCCTCAGTCACTTTGTGTTGAGGGGGGGTGGGGGCTCTCCAGGCCTCTGGAGTTGGGGGGACAGCCAGGCCAGGCGCTGGGAGTGCTGCGGGGTGGGCTTCAGGCCTGTGGCGTTAGGTACCTGGGACGGCAGGAGGAGTAAAGGGAGGAAGAGGAGAGAGAGAGAGAGAGAGACAGAGAGAGAGAGAGAGAAGAAGAAGAAGAAGGAGGAGGAGGAGGAGGAGGAGGAGGAGGAGGAGGAGGCCTTCTTCCTGGGGGTGGGAGGGGCAGCGCAGGGGGTGACCCTGGGTGGCAAGGGCAGGCCAGCGTGGGCATTGTGGGGTGGGCGTCGAGGTACAGAAGACGCCTCCCCATGGCCCTGAATGACTCAGGGCCTGCCTGCTTGCTTGTGTGCCTGCTTGCGTGCCTGCCCGCCCACCCACCCAAGTCGCCAGAAAGGGGGTGGCCACGACACTAGGGCCGTGGGTCGTGACACGACCCATGTCTGAAGGCGACCGGCCGCGGTGGGGTGGACAGGTGGCCAGAGTGGCGGGGCTGGGCGCCCACGGGGCAAGGAGCTTCGACGGCAAGATGGAGACGTGAGGGGGGAAGGGTCCAGGGAGGAAAAAAAAACAAACAGGGAACTCGGGTCAAGCAGGGTCATGGATTGAGCTTTGGTCACGTTCAGATGGAGAAGCTGCTAGGCGCCCTTAGCAACCGAGGGCCACTAGCTGCAACCTAGCAACAGCTGGCGCCTGCAGAGGCCCCGCAAGCCCAGGACCCCGCCTCGGTGCAGAGGCCCTCGTCTGGACCGCCCCGTAATCCGTCATTGGTGTAAGTACCTCGCGGGCAGCCGGCCGGCCCCGCCCCGCAGCCACTATTTGCATATGCCCCGGGCCGGGGACTCTGCGTTTGCCTTGGGGGGGGGGGCTACGGGAGGCCAGGCCCCGCCCCCTCGCCCTCGATTTGCAGGAGCAGCTCCCTGGATGGCCAGGCCACGCCTGCCCGGGACCCTCGATTTGCGTAGGAACCCGGTGCCAGGCCAAGCCCCGCCTCCTGACCCTCGCTTCGCAAAGGCAGCTGGCTTCACGCCTCTCCGGTCGCCTCGGTTACTGAAACCAGCCCCGGACCCGCCCGCGTCCCTGATTGGCATACGGCGCCTCCCAGCCAGGCCCTGCCTCTCACCTTTGCACATCACCAGGGCGACGGGGGACTGCGGGGGGCGCCGCAGCTAGACGTGTGCTTCGAGGCGCGCGGTCGCGGTAGGCCGCTGCAGGCCGCTGCAGCGTGACGCACGGCACGTCGCGGCCCGCCGGCGGCGTGGCCGGGACCTTTGCCCACGTAGGCGTGTCCGGAAGTTCCCGGACCTGGCAACATGGCGGCTTCCACGTCCGGCCTCGGCGGTGGCGTCGTCCCTGGTCCCGAAGCCGGGGACTTCCTGGCCCGGTACCGCCTGGTGTCGAACAAGCTGAAGAAGCGGTTCCTGCGGAAGCCGAACGTTGCGGAAGCCGGGGAGCAGTTCGGTCAGTTGGGCCGCGAACTGCGCGCCCAGGAGTGCTTGCCTTACGCAGCCTGGTGCCAGCTGGCAGTGGCGCGGTGCCAGCAGGCGCTCTTCCACGGGCCTGGGGAGGCGCTGGCCCTCACGGAGGCCGCACGCCTCTTTCTGCGGCAGGAGTGCGACGCTCGTCAGCGCCTGGTCTGCCCCGCCGCCTATGGCGAGCCGCTGCAGGCGGCTGCCAGCGCCTTGGGCGCCGCTGTGCGCCTGCACCTGGAGCTGGGGCAGCCGGCCGCCGCCGCCGCCCTGTGTCTGGAGCTGGCCGCCGCCTTGCGCGACTTGGGCCAGCCGGCCGCCGCCGCCGGCCACTTCCAGCGCGCCGCCCAGCTGCAGCTGCCCCTTCTGCCCCTGGCCGCTCTGCAGGCGCTGGGCGACGCCGCCTCCTGCCAGCTTCTGGCGCGCGACTACAATGGCGCCCTGGCGGTCTTCACGCGCATGCAGCTCCTAGCGCAGGAGCATGGCAGCCATCCCGTGCAGCAGCTCCCGCCTCCACCACCGCAGACCCTGCTGGCCCCGGCGCAGTCTCATCCCCAGCCGCCGGGGCCCCAACCCGGACCTGGCGCGACCCCCTTGGTGCCCGCCGCACCGCTCCCCGCAAACCCTGGCTCTGCCTTGCCCTCTCCTGTCGCCCTGGGCGCCTTCTCGGAGGTGCTGGGGCGCTGCGAGGTGTCCCGTGTGCTGCTGCTGCTGCTCCTACAGCCACCTCCGGCCAAGCTTCTGCCCGAGCACGCCCAGACTCTGGAGAAGTACTCCTGGGAAGCTTTTGACAGCCACGGACAGGAGAGCAGCGGCCAGCTTCCTGAGGAGCTCTTTCTGCTGCTGCAGTCCTTGGTCATGGCTACCCACGAAAAGGACATAGAAGCCGTCAAGTCACTGCAGGTGGAGATGTGGCCTCTGTTGACTGCTGAGCAGAACCACCTCCTTCACCTCGTTCTGCAAGAAACCATCTTCCCCTCAGGACAGGGGGTCTAATAATCACTTTAACCAAAGACCTTTTTGCCTGGTAGTCGACCTCATTCATCCACCTTTGCATTTAGGGGGAAATAAAAGGCTTTGATCCAGGTTCTGCATCTCCTGTTACTCATATTGCCACCATGGTGTGTGTCTTTCTTTGCCTAGGTTATTTCACTTAACGTAATGTCCCCAAGATTCACCCATATTGCCACAAATGACAGTTTCATTTTTTAAAGGATGGACGGTATTTCATTGTGTATATATACTGCAATTTGTTTATCCAATCATCAGTTGATGCATAGTTAGTTGATTCAATTTCATGGCAATTGTAAATAATGCTTCAATAAACTTGGTAAGACAGATGCCTGTTTTTCATAGTGATTTTCTTTTCACAGTAGTGGTTTATTTCATCAATAATCATTTATGAAAGAAATGAAATATTTGTGTTTCCAGCACTATGGGAATATCACAATTTGGAGATAAACCTGCTCTACACCTAAAACAGTAGCCCTGGTGCTTTTTATGTAAAGTATCAGGTAAAGAGGTGAAGGATAAAACGGTTGTGATAATCTCTCCCTGTGTATCTGGGCATGAGACCTATGTTTTTTTTTTTTTAATATTTATTTATTTATTTTAGTTTTCAGTGGACACAACATCTTTCTTTGTATGTGGTGTTGAGGATCGAACCCAGGCCGCACGCATGCCAGGCAAGCACACTACCGCTTGAGCCACATCCCCAGCCCCCGAGACCTATGTTCTTAATCAAATTCTTGGTGATCCTGTTGAGTTGCTACAAGTTTCCATTCTCCAGAACTGTTGGACAAGAGAGTACTCAGAGGTTTAATAATGGATCTTCTAGTTTCCAAGGAGTTGTCCTGCTTGCTCCCTTTGTAAATAGTAACCAAATTTCCCCTTGGTAATTATGATCTTCCTGACCAGCACCAGGAGCCCCTTTCTATCTTTGGGTTCAGTGGCATAAGTCTGATTCACCAGAACTATGCTTGCATTCTCTGGAGAAGCATTCTCTGGGGACTAGAACCACTAAACCTATTAAACCCAAAATACAGGAAGCAAGTAGCGAAAAATGCTTCCAATTTATTAGATGAAATGGTGAGAAGGGCCAGTCATTTGTTTTGGTTCTTGGAATCATGCATCCTTGCTGTAGGGAGATAGTGTAACATTAGCCACTAGTTTAAATTATATCCTGTATCACAGCATATCTACCCATCTTTTCTCCAAGTTGTTATCCTAATCAAGCCTTCGACAAGTCACTCCACCATTCTGTAAAGCCAGCTGCTAATTATTGATGGGGAATATGGTGCAATTAGTAAATTCCTTGCTGTCTTAGGCTGAGACAGGAGAATTGTGAGTTGACTTTTATCAGGTATTGTGTCAGTAATAAAAAGCCAATTAACATGCATGTTCAGAAGCAATATCATGTGCCATTGTGATGGATAAAGTATCCTGTTGCAAATAATGGTGCTGGCAGGGTGTAGTAGTGCACGCCTGTCATCCCAGTGGCTTGGGAGGCTGAAACAGGAGAATTGTGAGTTCAAAGCCAGCCTCAGCAACTTCAAGGCCCTAAGCAACTCAGTGAGACCCTGTCTCCTGGGGATGTGGCTCAGTGGTTGAGTGCCCCTGAGTTCAATCCCCAGTACAGGAAAAAAAAAAAACAAATAATGGTGCTGAAAGAACAGATACTTCTCAAAACAAGAAATACAATTGAGCAACAAATACATGAAAAAATGTTCAATATCTGGGAAATGCAAAACGAAACTACACTGAAAATTCATCTCACTCCAGTCAGAATGGAAATTATCAGGAATACAAATAATAAAAATAATAATAAATGATGGTGAGATTGTGGGGGAAAAGGTATACTCATACATTGTTGGTGGGACTGCAAATTAGTAAAACCACTTGAAAGCAGTATGGAGATTCCTCGAAAAACTAGGAATGGAACCACCATATGACCCAGCTATTCCACACCTTAGTATTTATCTAAAAGAACTAAAATCAGCATACTATAATACTGCTATAAAAATTGTACTGCTATAAAAGCAATACCATTCACAATACCAAATTATGGAACTAGCCCAGATGACAATAGACAAATGGATTAAGAAAATGAGGTGCATATGCCCAGTGGAGTTTTAGTCATAAAGAAGGATTGAATTATGGTATTTGCTGGTAAATGAATTGAAAAGGAGAACATCATGCTGAGTGAAATATGTGAATAAGTAAAGTAAGAGGTGTTAGCCTCTACTGTTGGCAAGTTCGGCAAATGTGTGTTAAGAATAGTCACATCAGCCTATGATACATGGGTTTTGTTGAGCTTGTGCATAACTTCCATCTCTGCCACCACAATTACTTTGTTGATTATTGCAAGGTGGCTAGCACCTTGCCTTTCCTGCCCAAGATGGTATAAGCCAAGGGAGAAGATAAGTCAGAAATAATTAGCGAAGACATAAGACACAGAGTCAGAAAAATAGTTTTA